CAAAGACTTAAACTTGCGTAGGCTGAAAAATCCTTCATGATCTTGTCCCAAACAAGTTAGTCACTTGTTATAACTCCCTGAAAGAGCCTTAAATGCTATTCTGTTCTGGGCCTATATTATTTTATATATTTTATTAAAAATGATTCTTTTTTTTGTCTGTAATTTTTCTTTTCTACTTTGTTTCTGAGGCAGAGAGATGCATACTTATGTGCAACCAGAGCTCCTGTTCACTCCCCAGATGCCTGTAACTTCTGGTGCGAATCTCCTAACTAGGCAGCTGGGACCCGACCACCTGGCCAGGACCTGCTCCCTCGTTGGGTGTGCCTTAGCAGGAAGCTGGAACCAGGAGTGAAGGAGGACTGAGACCCAGGCCGTGTGCTGGGAATGTGGGCTTCCCGACATGGCTTTCTGAACTGCCAGTCCGAATGCCTGTCCCCTCTATCTCCTTAATATCCGGCAAACTTCTTGTTCATGTTTCAAAATGCAGCGCATTTGTTCTTCACTGCTGATCTTTTCTCGCCTCTTCCTGCTAAGAAGTGCTTTTCATGTTTCTATTATAGTACTTTTTTATGATAACGCATAGAGTCATGCAATGTTTCTAACCAGACTTGTTTGTGTATTGATTGTCTTAAGCACTTTGATATCCTCAGTATGGTATCCTGAGTATGGGTAGCGCTTAGCAGCTCGTGAAGCAGCTGTCGATGGTGGATTAAATGCTCTAAACCTCAGATACATTATCTGTGAATGAAGATTACTCTGTGTTAAAATAGGTAGTTATTTTCTCCTTTTGCTTTCTGCCAGTATCCGTTGATTTCCTTTTGTTTTTTTTTTATAAGATTTATTTTTATTATTTTTTTTTATTGGAAAGGCGGATATACAGAGAGGTGAGACAAAGAGGAAGATCTTCCGTCCGATGATTCACTCCCCAAGTGAGCGCAACGGGCCGATGCTATGCCGATCCAAAGCCAGGAGCCTCTTCCGGGTCTCCCACGCGGGTGCAGGTTCCCAAGGCTTTGGGCCGTCCTCTGCTGCTTTCCCGGGCCACAGGCAGGGAGCTGGAAGGGAAGCGGGGCTGCCGGGATTAGAACCGGCGCCCATATGGGATCCCAGGCATGCAAGGCAAGGACCTTAACCACTTGCGCCACCGCGCCGGGCCCCTTTTGTTTTTTTTTTTTAAGATTTATTTATTTTTATTGCAAAGTCAGATATACAGAAAGGAGGAGAGACAGAGAGGAAGATCTTCCATTTGATGATTCACTCTCCAAGTGGCCACAACAGTTGTTGCTGCACCGATGCAAAGCCAGGAGCCAGGAACTTCTTCCAGGTATCCCATTTAGGTGCAGGGTCCCAAAGCTTTGGGCCATCCTCCACTGCTTGCCCAAGCCACAAGCAGGGAGCTGGAAGGGAAGTGGAGCTGCCGGGATTAGAACTAGCACCCATATGGGATCCCAGTGGGCACATCAAGGCTAGGACTTTATCCACTAGGCCTCACGGCGCCGGGTCCATCCCTTGATTTCCTAAACTGAGTAATGAAATTTTAGGCATTGAATCACTGAAAATATCCTCCAACAACAACATGCATTTCCATCTATTCAGAGTCAGCAGTAGCAGTTGTTGCTATCTAACTGTACCAGTTCGATTTGTGATCCTACAATGAAACAGCTGAGGCCGGATACCTTTATAATGAAAAGAGGTTTATCTCGGTTCCCAGGTGTGTGTAAGATTTTGTAATTTGAAAAGCAGGGCTTGGGTCTGGCACGGTGGCCTAGTGGCTGAAATCTTCACCTTGAACACACCAGGATCCCATATGGGTGTGGGTTCTGGTCCCGGCTGCTCCACTTCCCATCCAGCTCCCTGCTTGTGGCCTGGGAAAGCAGTTGAGGACGGCCCAAAGCCTTGGGACCCTGCACCTGTGTGGGAGACCTGGAGGAGGTTCCTGGCTCCTGGCTTCGGATTGGCACAGCACCAGTCATTGCGGTCACTTGGGGCGTGAATCATCAGATGGAAGATCTTCCTCTCTGTCTGTCATCCCCTCTGTATGTCTGACTTGCAATTAAAAAGTAAATAAATCTTAAAAAAAAAAAAAGAAAAAGAAAAGCAGGGCTAAAGAGAGAGGGAAAGGCAGAGAGATATCTTCCATTCATTGGTTCATTTCCTACATGGCCACAACAACCAGGCATGGGCCAGGTCAAATCCAGGAGCCAGGTTCTTTATCCAGGTCTCCCACGTGAGTGCAGGGGCCCAGGGACTTGAGCCATTCCCTCTGCTTTCCGGGCGGGTTAACAGGGAGCTGGATGGGAAGAGGTAAATATCCGAAGGAAGCCTCCTGAGGTTGACCTTTGTTCTTGGTAAAGGATCCCTCTCCTCTCCTGAATGTTTACCTTAGTGCCTGAACTTTGAATCTTGGAAAGTTTTTCTGTCAAGCTTCCGCTTTACACCTCTGTGGACCCCCAATTCCTGAGGCCCACGGTAATCAGAAACAGGATCTGTTCCTGTTTCTGTCAGCAGCTGTATCGCAGGGCACTGTGAAGGTACTGCATCTGGCTCCTTGATGCTGGCCAGCCATTCCTGTTGGAACCATCCTGGGGCTTTGTGCATAATTGTCCCTCCCCTTACTCAGGTTTCTCTTAATCAAATTAAATTCATTCAAGTTGAGATTTTTAGCAAGATTTACAAGGTTTTTTGGGAAAGATTTTGTTGTTATTTGAAAGGCAGAGTTATAGAGAGAGAGGGGAAGGAGAGATTTCTTCCATCTGCTGGTTTACCCCCTAAATGGCTGAACAGCCAGGTTCAAAGCTAGGTGCCTGGAGCTTTTTTTCAGATCTTCCACATGAGTGCAGGGGGCCAAGACTTGAGCTGTCTTCTGCTGCTTTCCCAGTCACATTAGCAAGGAACTGGATTGGAAGTGGAACAGCTGGGACTTGAACCAGAGCCCATATAAGATGCTGGCTCTGCAGGCAGTGGCTTAATTTACTATGCCATGGTGTCTGCCAGTTAAAATTTATTTCATCTCGGTTTGGCATAATGGCTTAATTGGCTAATCCTCCCCCTTCAAGCACTGAGGTCCCATAAGGGTGCTGGTTTGTGTCCTGGCTGCTTCACTTTCCTTCCAGCTACCTGCTTGTGGCCCTAGAAAACAGCATAGGCCTGCCTTGGGCCCCTGCACTCATATGGGAGACCCGGAGGATGCTCCTGACTGCTGGCTTTGGATCAGCTCAGCTCCGGCCATTGAGGCCGTTGGGAAAGTGAACCAATGGAGAGAAGGCCTTTCTTTCTGTCTTTCCTCTGTGTAAATCTGATCTGTCTCATAAAAAATAAATAAATCTTAAAAAAATTCATTTTCATCTGCTTGGAAGGGAGAGTGACAAAGAAAGAGGGTAATTTTCCTTCTGCTGGCTGAAGCCAGTTGCCTCGAACTTCTTTCAGTTTTCCACTGGGTATCAGGACCTGATGCACCTGCTGCCTCCCAGGGTGCACAACTGCAGGAACCAGATCAGAAACAGAGGTGCCCGAACTGGCACTGATACCCAGGCATCCCAGGCAGCAGCTTGAGCTGACACGATGCCTAGAGAGCCAGGACCCCCGATGCCAGGACCCCCGCGTGAGCATTCCAGAGAGCCAGGCAGGACTACATTGCCTTCCGCAGTCCTGGAGGTTGCCTGTTGGAAGCAACTCGTCTTTTTTGTTGTTGTTGTTTGTAAGATTTACTTATCTTTATTGGAAAGGCAGATATACAGAGAGGAGGAGAGACAGAGAGCAAGATCTTCCATTCGATGATTCACTCCCCAAGTGAATGCAACAGCCGGAGCTGAACTGATCCAAAGCCAGGAGTCTGGATCCTTTTTTCCAGGTCTCCCACGCAGGTGCAGGGTCCCAAGGTTTGGGCCATCCTCCACTGCTTTCCCAGGCCACAAGCAGGGAGCTGGATGGGAAGTGGGGCTACCTGCATACAAACCAGCACCCATGTGGTATCCCGGCGCATTCAAGGTGAGGACTTTAGCTGCTAAGCTACTGTGCCGGGCCCAACAACTAGTCTTTATTGTTGACTTAAAGAGTATGGGTCATAGAGGCACCTCTCAGGAGAGGTGTCAAATGGTTTATAGACATAACTGAGCTCTATTCTCAGCTAGTAAATGGTGAGCCTGCTCTGTGTCCGAGCACAGTCGAGCGTACATGAGGACTTCAAAATGGGAAAAATAGAATTAAAAGTTTCAATGTAAAAAGTTTCTTCTGAACTCTAGTAGTATAGGACCTAAAGTAAATTTGTGTCTTTTGTTTATAAAAAGGAGGACGAGGGGCCCGGCACAGTGGTGCAGTGGTTAAGGTCCTTGCCTTGCACGCCCAGGATCCCATATGGGCGCCAGTTCTAATCCCGGCAGCCCCGCTTCCCATCCAGCTCCCTGCCTGTGGCCCGGGAAAGCAGTTGAGGACGGCCCAAGGCTTTGGGACCTGCACCTGCGCGGGAGACCCGGAAGAGGCTCCTGGCTTGGGACTGGCATAGCATCGGCCGTTGCGCTCACTTGGGGAGTGAATCATCTTCCTCTCTGTCTCACCTCTCTGTATATCCGCCTTTCCAATAAAAATGAAAAAAAAAATCTTTAAAAAAATAAATAAAAAGGAGCACGAGGGGTGGACATTGGACCTAGCATTAGGACACCTGTATCCACATGCAACGTGCTTTGGATTTTACACCTGCTCTGCTCTCAGCTCCAGCTTCCGGCTGGTGCAGACCCGGGAGGCAGGTGCCGGCTCAAGTGATGAGGCTCCGTTCAGCCCATGGGAGAGCTGGACCGGTTTCCTGCTCTGCCTGCAGTGTGACTCACTCCCAGCTGTCGCAGGCGTTTGTGGGAGTGAACCAGCAGATTGGAGTTCTCTGTGTGTTTGTATTTCTCTCTGTCAAACAGATAAATTAAAAACTTTGGAAATGAGAAGAAATAAGCTATTTTATGTCTTACAAACATGTCCTTAGTTTTTTTGTTTGTTTGTTTTTCTGTTTGTAGAATACAACATTTAATGAAAAACCCATGCTTAAGGTGTGAACATGGCGGGCTTCCTGGACAATTTCCGCTGGCCGGAATGTGAGTGTATTGACTGGAGCGAGAGGAGGAACGCCGTGGCGTCCGTGGTGGCCGGCATATTGGTGAGTGAGGGCAGCTGGCTGCTGACCGGCATGGCGCTCTTTCTGCCCGGAATGAATTCCTTTGAACTCTCATGCCCTTCTACAGTTATGCTTCATTTCAAACACCTAGCAGAGACCTAGATGCTGTTTACGGAGTACAGCGTCGAGGGCCTTTGGTTCATCCAACTGAGTGAATTATTTAAATTCAGTGTCTCTTCAGTTCCAGGCATAGTCTATTTATTATAGGTGGGAGCATTTTTAAATTAATAGGTAAACCTAATTACATATGTGTAGTGCTTTGAGAACTTCCAAGGCTCAGAATTCGAGATTTATAGAGAGAAGGAAAGACAAAGAGAAAGCTCTTCTACCTGCTGGCTCACTCCCAAGTGGCTACAGTGACCAGGACAGAGCTGAGCCGATCAGAAGCCAGGAACCAGGAGCTTCTTCTGGGTCTCCCATGTGGGTGCAGGGTCCCAAGGCTTTGGGCTGTACCCTGCTGCTTTCCCAGGCCATAAGCAGAGAGCTGGAAGGGAAGTGGAGCAGCTGGGATATGAACGCCATGGCGCCCATGTGGGATCCCACCGCTTGGAGGGGGAGGATTAGCCAGTGGAACCGACATGTCGGCCCCTATGAATTTTTTTTTCATGTTTTTTATGATGGTGTTTGCTAATTGTGATGTGGTTGGTCCGTGAGTTTTATTTTTTGTTTTTAAAAATGTTTATTTGAAAGAATGGTAGAGAGAGAGGGGGAGTGAAAAAGTGAGTCAGAGTCTTCCATTTGTTGGTTCATTCCATAAATGATTTCAGCAGCCAGTGCTGGGCCAGAAACAAGGAACCCCGGTCTCCTGCAGGGGTGACAGGGACTAAGGTAGTTGGATCGTCTCATCCTGTGTTACCGTCCCTTGCTTATTAGCAGGGGTGAGACTTGGATCTGCTGGGATTTCAGTCAGTACTCACGTGGGATATGCCAGCTTTGCTGTTGAAAAGCAGATATTGTGTTTTTGAATGTGTCAGTGACGTGGGCTGTTTCTTCAGTTTTTCACAGGTTGGTGGATAATGATAGACGCTGCTGTTGTGTATTCCAAGCCGGAGCAGTTGAACCACGCCTTTCACACGTGCGGGGTGTTCTCCACGCTGGCTTTCTTCATGTAAGTGTGAAGGTCATTCTCAACATTATTTTTGTAAAGCATTGTTTCCTATTTATGCTTCCTTAAATAACTTTCTAATAACTATGTGTCCCTATTTTATTAAGGTTTTTTTTCTTTGGTACCAAGGATGAGTGTTGAGTTTAGTCACTTATATGGTTAGCACTGTGATTTTTCTCCTTGTGTTTTTTTTTTTTTTCCTTAAGATTTATTTACTTTTATTGGAAAGGTGGATATACAGAGAGGAGGAGAGACAGAGAGGAAGACCTTCCGAAGAGGTCTCCCATGTGGGTGCAGGGTCCCAAGGCTTTGGCCCATCCTTGACTGCTTTCCCAGGCCACAAGCAGGGAGCTGGATGAGAAGCAAGGCCGCCGGGATTAGAACTGGCGACCATATGGGTGGGATCCCGGTGTGTGCAAGGCGAGGACTTTAACCACTACACTATCATGCCAGGCCCTCCTTGTGTTTTTTAAACTGGTCATTTATCTTATTTTGTGAGTTCCAAGATAAACTTTTTTTTTAAAGGAAAGATTTATTTATTTACTTTTTTATAGTGAGCATTCTTTTTAAAACATTTTTTAAAGGTTTATTTTATTTCTATTAGAAAGATATACAGAAAGGATGAGAGACAAAGAGGAAGATCTATCCGTTGATTCACTTTCCAAGTGGCCACAATGGTTGGAGCTGAGCCGATCCCAAACCAGGAGCCTGGATGGAGCCTCTTCCATGTCTCCCACGTGGGTGCTGGGATCCAAGGCTTTGGGCCGTCCTTGACCGTTTTCCCAGGCCACAAGCAGGAAGCTGGATGGGAAGTAGAACAACTGAGACACAAACTGGAGCCCATATATAATCCTGGAGTGTGCAAAGCAAGGACTTCAGCCATTTAGCTACTGTGCCAGGCCCCAAGAAATACTGTTATATCTTAATATCTGAATGTATCTTACAGTTAGTGGTGTTTTAGGATTATAATCCGATTTTCTTCTTGTCAGTTTTAAAAAGAGTAGTGCATCTTAGATTTAATGAAGTATGTTATATTTCCACATTTTTTAAGTTTTCTTAAACATTCAGCTTTTGCCATGGGGCATAATTTTTTTTAAAAATGTACTTCTTGGACCCAGTGTGGTTAATATTTGCGGGAAGGGCAGAACTGGCTCAGATGAGATTGAGCTGTGAGTTTTTTGTTAAATAATTTTCAGGTTTATCAGTTATCATGCCTCATATAAGATTTGAAGCTTTTCGTTGATGTCACTTAGCAATTAAAAAAACCACTAAGTACCGAGATTACATAATTTATTCTGTCAGGAGTATAAGAAGGGGTTATGTTATGGAAAATGGAGGTACTCCAGTTGTACGCAGGCTGCTAGGAAAAGGCAGTTCCTAACACAAGTAGGAAGAGCAGCTGGATAAAGTAGGTCTTTTATTGTACATGGGCTAAGTTCTATCTGAGTTTAAGAAATAATCAAAGAAAATGAATTTTCAGACAGAGAGAGATGGGTAGCCTTTGGTGATGATGAGAGCTTTAGCAAGGCACGACGGGGTAACCGATGGTGGGTCCTTCGGGGATAAAGGTTAGGTGGGCAGAAAAATCAGGAAGCTGCCCGTTTTTCATGACTCTTGGATACAAGTGATAGAAAGCTCTTAAAATCTATTAAGAGAAACATCTTCCGGTTATGCTTTAGGAAAAGAAGTTTAATGTAATATTTCTATCCACTAGGATTTTGTTAAGTTAAAGTTCTTTGAATATTGACTTTAATTAGGAAATAATCTGTTTCTCTCTTTTAAGTGGTCTGTAAATTTCCATAAGTGTTTTAACAGCACAAGAGCTCACTGGATGATTCTGCACTGTTCCAGGATAAATGCAGTGTCCAACGCGCAGGTGAGAGGGGACAGCTATGAAAGCGGCTGCTTGGGAAGGACGGGTAAGTACGGGACCCGCTCTGTGTGCTGGCGAGAGTCGCCAGCAGGAGGCAGTGTTCAGGACTCCCACGCTCCCATGCTCTTCACTGCCTTTGAGAAAAAGTCTCAGTGTCCTCAAGTTTTGAAGAAACCTAAGCTCATTGTGTATATGTGTGTGTGTGTGTGTGTGTATTTGTTATGTTGCTCAGGGTAGAGATGAAATGTTACTGTTAAAGATCAGTGAATTTTAGATTCCAGTGTTATCAATGGATTTATTCTTATCTCTGGTATCAAATAATGATATTACTTACATTATAGCTGGTGAAATAATAGGCAGGTGCGGGAAGCATGCAGCCAGTGGATCATAAAAGGCACACAGAAGTATTTGGTCTGATTCCTGAAGGGTGACACGTGACACGGGAACTGAAGTTCAATATGCATGAAGCGTGTGGCTGCGCGCGTGGGCTTGTGTTGTCACTTTCTAGGGTCAACTTGCACTCCAGACTCAGAAGTAATGTTGGAATGCAGGAGGAAAAAGACTGTAAAAGTAACTTATTGGAGATGTATAGAGAATTTCTGTCTGCTGGTTCACTGCTCCGATGCCTGTGCAGTGGTGCCTGGACTGACACCAGGAATGGGAATTCAGACTAGGTTTGTCATGTGGTGGTGGCAACTCGTTAACTTGAGCTGCGGAGGCTACCCAGGATCTGCATTGGCAGGGTGCTGAGTCAGGAGCCCCAAGTAGGTATTGACCCTGTATTCCAGCCACCGTGAGCTGTAGGCATCTTAGGGCTTTTTTTTTTTTTTTAGATTTATTGATTTTTAGTTGAAAGGCAGAATTATGAGGAGGAGAGCAGAAGAAACACAGTTGGATCCCTTTCACGCACTGGTTCACTCTACAAATGCCTGCAACACCTGGAGCTAGGCCAGTGCGAAGCCAGGAGCCAGTAGGAGCTTCCAGGTCTCCCATGTGGCTGCATCTTCTGCTACCTTTCTGGGCCGTAAGCAGCGAGTTTGATCAGAATGGAGAAGCTGTGGCATGAACCCTTGGTGCCCATAGGGGATGCCGGTACCGCAGGTGGAGGAAACTAAATTGACTATGCCACAGCACCAGCCCTAGTTCTATTTTTTTAAAAGGTATTTTAAAAAAGATTTATTTATTTATTTACTTACTTACTTATATTGGAAATTTAGATTTAGAAAGAGGAGGAGAGACCGAGAAAGATTTTCCATCCATTGGTTCACTCCTCAAGTGCCACAGTGGAGCTGAGCTGAACCGAAACCAGGAACCAGGAGCTTCTTTCTCGTCTCCCACATTGGTGCAGGGTCCCAAGACTTTGAACCATCCCCTGCTGCTTTCTCAGGCCCAAAATGGAGCTGGATGGGAAGTGGAGCAGCTGGTACACAAACCAGCACTCATATGGAACCCTAACACTAGCAAGCGGAGGATTAGCCAAATGAGCCATTGCATTGGAAACTTTTTAGGTTTATTTATTTATTTGATGGTTTGAATTTCACAGAGAAAGTGAAAGAGATTGCGCTTTCACCCACTAGTTTGTTCCCCAAGTGGCCACAACAGTTTGGACCGTGCCAGCCTGAAGCCGGGAGTCTGGAGCTTCTTCTGGAACTCACGTGGGTGCAGGAGCCCAAGCGCTTGGACTGTTTTCTGCTGCTTTCCCAGGCACTTGAGCAGGGAGGTAGATCAGAAGTGGGCCAGCTGAGACACGAGCTAGAGCCCTTGTGGGGTGCCAGAGTGAAAGCGGACAGTTTCATGTGCTGTGTCACAAAGCTAGACCCAAGAGGAAATTTTTCTTATGTAATTGAATTAGGAAGTATAATGTGTATGATAATATGTAAAGGACATGATAAAAAATAATTTCAAGGATTTTTTTGTGGTTCCTTTTTTTTTTTTTAAATAAAGATTTGTTTTCTTTTTACTTGAAAGGCAGATTCACAGAGAGGACAACAGAAAGAACATCTCACATATTTATTCTCCAAATGGCTGCAACAGCTGGAGCTGAAATGTTCCAAAGCCAGGGGCCTCCCACACAAGTGCAGGGTCCCGTGGTTTCGGGTCATTCTCTACTGCTTTCCCAGGCCACAAGCAGGGGGCTGGATGGGAAGTGGAGCAGCTGGAATACAAACCAGCACCCATATGGGATTCTGGTGCATGCAAGGCGAGGACTTTAGCACCTAGGGTAAAGGGTGGGGCCCTTTCTTTGACTCTTAAAAAAAAGTCTGAAGGGTTGGATCTGTGGCTTAGTAGGCTAAGCCTCTCTGTTTTTGGTGTCATCATCTCATATGGGTGCTGGTTTGTATCCTGGATGCTCCACTTTTTTTTTTTTTTGACAATCTTTACATAGTTAATTAGGGCACAAAGGGTTAAGGGCTACAAGAAAGTGGGTAAGACTATTACTTCCACATTTTTCCCGCTATATCTGGAGTAAAAGGGGAGGTAAAGGGAGAAGCCCCACCCAGTCTCCACCCATCCCAGGTCCCCGACATGGGGCATGCTCCGAGGGTCTTGCTCAAGTGGTTTTGATAGTTCAGCAGTTCTAAATTGCTGCCAGTCTCGCCATTCCAAGCACAATGAAGTCACTGCAAAATCCACTGATTGACATAGAGTCTCCGTTTGCCCAGTTTTTCACTGCCAAACTATGGCTGGGGTAGTTGATTGATTTGTTCTGTTCTCTGTTGTGATGCCAGGTGTCCTCTGCAGGTTCCGATGGACTGCCATATTCTCCATGGAAACCTGATTGTGCTGTCCACTGCTCCGTCTGAGCCTCTGAGGAGGCTCGGCTCTGACACTTGCACTCCGTGGTAGACCATGGAACTTACACTTCTCTTCATGGTTAGGGTTCTGAGTCCAGCAGTTCGATTGGGGAGATCCCAAAGAAACTTTGTCTGAGGTGATCCCAGACTAGACTCTTGTGTGTACTTGCCAGTACAGGGCGTGGCACAGTCCATCACCCCAATCATCTGGAGTTGCAGTTGCTGGGTTGATTTTGTTTCCAGCCTTGTCTTCCACTCGATGGGTGTTGCAGTCCAGCCTGATTCTGTCCAGCAGACACTCGGCCCTCACATAAATCAGTGGGAGCTGCAGTCTAGTCGGTGGATGCTCTACTTCTAAGCTCCCTGCTTATGGTCTGGGAAAGCAGCAGAGGGTGGACCAAGTTCTTGGGACCCTGCATCCACATGGGAGATCTGGAAGAAGCTCCTGGCTGCTGGCTTTGGATTGGCTCAGCTCCCGCCATTGCGGCCACCGGGGTTTGAACCAGTGGATGGAAGATCTCTGTCTCCTTCTTTCTCTAACTCTGCCTTTCAAATAAAAATAATAAAATAACTCTTAAAAAAAGCAATCTGATGGAATGTACTCACAGTTTAGAAGTTCTCTTTCTCCAAGGGATGATACATTGTTGAATGGTTCTAGAGATCTGCTTGCTATCAGCTGCCCATGTTGAGCTTTCAAGACTTCTTGTATCTCTGTTCCTTTGCTGACACTTTTGACAGTTGACACACGCCCAGGATTTTACTTTGTAGTAGAGCTGTGTGCTCTTCCTTGTGTGCGGCACTGGGCTGTCAGGGTACCCGTGAGCAGAGTCTGGTGTACGCCTCAACCTGCCCTCCTATACAGATGTGGACTCTACTCACATGTCTACTTGACCGATGGTTGGAATTCTGTGTGACAGAGAAGCAAGGAGCTTCCCGTGCCATTGAGCCTCTCAGAAATGTGGAACAGCCACAGAGACTCCTGGGTTTGCTGCTGAGGAACCATCGCTGTGTGCTGAGTACCTTGCCGAGTGGTGGTGGGATTTTAGAATCATACCATGGGGCCTGTGCTGTGGTGTAATGGCTAAAGCTGCTGTCTGCAGGATGAGCATTATATATGATTGCCAGTTTGAATCCTGGCTGCTCAACTTTTAATCCAGCTCTCTGTTAATGTGCCTGGGAAAGCAGAGGAAGGTAGAAGGTAGCCCAAGTCCTTAGGCCCCTACATGTCCCAATGTGCAGGACATGACGCTCAAACCCTGAGGGTGGACTGGGAATGCCGGGCTGCTAGCCCCCAAAATACACGGTCACACATACTTGGTGGAAAAGAGTGCCTCCTGCTCTTTATTTTACTCCTCATATATATACCTTCTTCTCTAGGGGAGGAGCGGAAGGGGAGGGGTTTCCTGGAAGTAATTATCTTCATTGAAACAGGGAAGGAACTAATCATCTATATTAAACAGGGGAGGAACTAACCATCTGAACAGGAACAAGGGTGGAGGTTCTGTTCTGCTTGCTCTACACAGGATGTTCTGGCCTCATATCCTGCTTGCTGTGGCCCTGCTTGCCCAAGGCAGGCTTTGCAATGCAACAGGCTGTCAGGTACGCCAAGTCTGAGGCCCGTAAGTCTGTGGCTCCTAACACCTACACCCACATGGGGCATCCTCTGACTTTGAACTGACCCAGCTCTGGCCCTTATGGCCACTAGGGAAGTAAACCAACAGATGGAAGATCTTTCTCTGTCTTTCCCTCCTTTTCTGTAACTCTGACTTTCAAATAAATTAATCTTTTAAAAGAATCTTAACATTTACTAAAAAGGGGCTATCAGTATTTGTGTGATGTTTTCTGTTTTTTAGGTGATGGTGCCTAGCTGAAGTAGTTTGCTACATGTAGTAAACAGCAGTTGCTTCGGTAACGTACACAGTGGGGCAGTTTTGTAGTTAGGGTCTGATCAGTTCAAGAAGGTCCCTGATTTTGCCTTCCTAAGGTATTATATTCCTTTTTAATAGCCAGGACAAGTCTAACTTGCCTCTGTTCTCCTTTCTAGGTAGAGTTTATTTCCTTTCAGTTTTTTTTTAAGAACATTTCATTGTTGTGCATGTTTTCCCAGGTTTGCAGAAATGTGTGTTCATCTTGGTGTGTAGTATGGATGAATAACCAGGTGGCAGTTGGATGTTTCTGGGACGTCACAGGGCTGCAACACGAGTGAGGTGCTAATGCCTGTCTCTCACAGGTGCTCGTGTGTGGCTCTTCATCGGGTTCATGCTGATGTTCGGGTCCCTCATCGCTTCCATGTGGATTCTTTTTGGTGCCTACGTTACCCAGAGTAAGTGTATCTCCCTCTCCCCTTGCCTTGAACACACTCAGCTTGTCCCTTCTGTTTCTACTCTGTCTACTCACCTGAAATGTGATGCAGTATGATGGCTCAGTCACCGTGGAGCTGGGCCCCTGGGTGAAGGCACCCCATTGGGCAGCATCTGGGTGCAGGAGTCCCAGCTGTTAGCAGAGCAGGTCCCTGCCAGTCAGCTCTCAAGTGTCTGATTTCTTGCCTTAGCTAGAACAGCCTGGCTGCCCTTAGCCTGGAAGTGCACCCTCTGGGGTTTGCAGTAGTTGGAGTGTGTAGGCAGTTCTCTGGTTTGCAAGTCTAGACCACAGAATGCTTGGAATCAAGTTTTCTATAACTGGCCTGCAGGCACAACCTGGCCGAAAGGCACAGGGCACAATTTGATCTTTGACCTGCTGATAGTGTCCAAGTGTTTTATTACAGGGATGAGTATGGATGTGTTAGGTTATGGGGTGGTGGTCCAAACCCAGCTGGGGTGCTGTGTGTGTGTATGCTTTCTGTTAGAATTCTTGGATCAAAATTTCCGAATTCTGAAGCAAACCTTGCCCCAAGGATTTCAGACAAACAGCTAAGACTCTGAAATATTTGCTTCCACCAACATTTCCTTTCAGTCTCAGGTACAAGGGGATGCTTAGGGTGTGTACCCCTGATGCAGAAACACCTGATGTGCAATGAGTTCTTGTTACACTGTCCTGAGTTTTCTGGCTGTGCCAGTCTCGTAGCTTTCCATCCATACTGGGGTTGGAAAGCAGAAGCCTGTCTCAGCACTGGCCCTGGAAAGACCCAAAGCCCCGGGTTCAGTGGCTCCTTTCACTGCCAAGATCAAAGTTCCTTTAGAGAGTCCAGTTTATTCATCCCTTCAGCCCGGAGTCTCAATTCCCTTTGCTTAACTGTCATGTGTCCTGGTCCTGAACCATTCTTGATTTTCACCACTTTTGATGGTATACCTGAAGCCTCATAGTTTGCTTGAAGATCTTTGGAATACATTTTGTCACTCGTTTAAAGTCTTGCACTTGGGTCAAAGTGAGTTAGGATCCAAGCAGTGGCAGTGAGTGTTGTGGGTGGAGCCTGTATCCCCGGTCAGGTGAGCGTTGTGGGTGGAGCCTGTATCCCCGGTCAGGTGAGTGTTGTGGGTGGAGCCTGTATCCCCGGTCAGGTGAGTGTTGTGGGTGGAGCCTGTATCCCCAGTCAGGTGAGCGTTGTGGGTGGAGCCTGTATCCTTGGTCAGGTGAGCGTTGTGGGTGGAGCCTGTATCCCTGGTCAGGTGCCACTTTGAGTTCTGGGTGCTCTGCTTCCGATGCAGCTTCTTGGTGATGCATCCCGGGAGGCAGCAGATGGCTCAAGTGCTTGGGCCCCTGCTACCCGTGTGGGAGACCCCGATGGAATTCCTGGCTCCTGGCTGTGGCCTGGCCTAGCCATGGCTGTTGTGGGCATTTGGAGAGTAAACCAACAGATGGAAGATCTCTTTTTTCTCTCCCCTGTTCCTGCCTCTCCTCCCAGCTCCACCTTTCTCTCTGTTCTTCTGCCTTTTAGGGAGATGGAGTTAAATAAATAAGCTTTGTGTGGAAGTTTATCAAGCTAATCCTCTGCTTGTAGTGCCAGCATCTCATGTGGGGGCACCACTTGAGTCCTGACTGTTCTGTTTCTGATCCATTTCCCTTCTTATGGCCTGGGAAAGCAGTAGCCCAAGGTTTTGGACCACCTTGCACCCAGGCAGACCTGGAAGAAGCTCCTGACTCTGGGCTTCAGCCCAGCCCAGCTCTGGCTATTGTTGGGAAATGAACCAATGGGTGGAAGCTCTCTCAGTCTCTTCCTGTCTCTGTCTAGTAAAATAAAGCATAAAAAAAGAGCAGTGATTGACTAATATTTACAGTAGGACTTCTCAGCAAACATACCTAAACTATGTTATTTTGGTTTAAAAATAGTAGTAGAGGGCTTGGCGTGGTGGCCTAGTGGCTAAAATCCTCGTCCTGAATGTACTGGGATCCCATATGGGTGCCGGTTCTAATCCCAGAGGCCCCGCTTCCTATCCAGCTCCCTGCTTGTGGCCTGGGAAAGCAGTGGAGGATGGCCCAAAGCCTTGGGACCCTGCACCTCCGTGGGAGACCTGGAGGAAGTTCCTGGCTCCTGGCTTCAGATCAGTGCAGCACCAGCCATTGCGATCACTTGGGGAGTGAATCATTGGACAGAAGATCTTGCTCTCTGTCTCTCCTCCTCTCTGTATATCTGACTTTGCAATAAAAATAAATAAATCTTTTTAAAGAGAAATGCTAGTAGAGCAAATGGTTCTGTGTTTTTTTTTTAAGATTTATTTAAAAAATTTTTTTTAATTGGAAAGGCGGATATACAGAGAGAGGAGAGACAGAGAGGAAGATCTTCCATCCGATAATTCACTCCCCAAGTGAGCACAACGGCTGATGCTATGCCGATCCGAAGCCAAGAGCCTCTTCCGGGTCTCCCACGCGGGTGCAGGGTCCCAAAGCTTTGGGCCGTCCTGGACTGCTTTCCCAGGCCACAGGCAGGGAGCAGGATGGGAAGTGGGGCCACCGGGATTAGAACCGGCGGCCATATGGGATCCCGGGCGTGCAAGGCGAGGACCTTAACCACTGTACCACCGCGCCGGGCCCTAAATGGTTCTGTTTTGAAGCTTGTCATATTGAGACATATTTTACATTCCATGCAGTTCTTCTTCAAAAAGTTTATAGAAAATGTATATTATTTAATGATCACATGTGAATGTCACAGTTTTTGGAACAAAGAGACATCAGTATAATTGTGTTTTGTCACCAGCTGTTAGAAGTGCTCTCCTGTAGTTCACACAGTGAAGTGTCTAGATTCAGGGTGTGCTATAATTGCTACAAGCCAATTTCAGAACATTTTTGTTTCAGGCATTTTCCACTCCCTGCTCTTTCAGCTCTAGGCAACCACTGACGTATTGTTTTTGCTACAGATATTTCATCAAAGTGGAATTTTTTTTTTTAAAGATTTATTTTTATTATTTTTTTATTGGAAAGGTGGATATACAGAGAGGAGAGACAGAGAGGAAGATCTTCCGTGCGATGATTCACTCCCCAAGTGAGCGCAACGGGCCGATACTATGCCAATCCGAAGCCAGGAGCCTCTTCCGGGTCTCCCACGCGGGCACAGGTTCCCAAAGCTTTGGGCCGTCCTCGACTGCTTTCCCGGGCCACAGGCAGGGAGCTGGAAGGGAAGCGGGGCTGCCGGGATTAGAACCGGCGCCCATATGGGATCCCGGGCGTGCAAGGCGAGGACCTTTAACCACTTGCGCCACCGCGCCGGGCCCCCTCAAAGTGGAATTTTTAAAAAAATTTTTTTATTGCAATGTCAGGGAGCTGGATTGCAAGGGGTGCAGCTGGCGCTCTGATGTGGGGTGCTGGCATTGCAAGTGGCATCCTGGCACACTATGACCCTGGCCCCTGTGATGGTCCTTTCTGTATCTGTCACATTGCTCGTATAACTCTTGACTTGGTGAAAGAAAATAGATTGTTAAATAGTCACGAATTAATTTGTGCCTTTAAAATATTTCTTATTTCTGTTCGAACTGTTGGAATAAAAGGACAGGGTGGTGCTTCTGTAGTCTATTTGCTACTAGATTGTTTGAGAGAGAGTGCGAGTGTACCCTCATCTGCTGGCTCACCCCCAGGGTGCCTGCTGTGCCTGGACCGGGCTGGGCCGACTAGGTCTCTCACTGGCTACTTGAGCTGTCAGGGTGCCTACTGGGACCTGTGTTAGCAGAGAGCTGGCGGCAGCAGCAGGCATTCCTGCTGACCCAGGCTGTCCAGTATGGGATGCGGGTGTTTTGATGGACGCCTTACCTGCTAGGCTAATGCCTGCCTTCCACCCCCAAGGCCACCACTTGATGCAATTAGAACCACAGCAGTAACTTTCCAGAAAATCTAAGTTCATTGGGTTTTATCCAGTATCCGTGTGTCACTGTCATTGTTGATGTGTTTGATGGATAATAGTAGTACACTGAACTCTCCACGATGTGTCCTGAGCAATGGCAGGAGCCGCCGTGGCCCCGTTGGCCAGTGTGACTTCTAACCTGTTTTCCTTTGTATGTGCAGATATTGATGTGTATCCAGGACTAGCTGTGTTTTTTCAAAATGCACTTATATTCTTTAGGTAAGTTGCTTATTTTTTTCTATAACACCTACAGAAATGTCAGCTTTATTATAAAGAACAGCATGTGCATGGAACACGTTAGTAAGGGGCTGCTCTGTGCTGAGATCTCTGTGTGTGCACCACCCTTTTAGTTCCCCTCTAATGAGTTCAGAGATCTCAGGGTACATCAAGAAGTTTGTGAACAATGAAATTAAAATGTTTATATTGGTGTGAAAAAAGTTCAAATCTACGCATGCGAAGAATCTTCCAAAAGTTTGTGAAAAAAGTTATGCATAGTTTTCACATTTTTTTGCATAAAAATGTTTTTAAAGATTAATTGTATTTATTTGAAAGGTGGCGTTGGAGACAGACATACCCATAGAATTAGATGCAGATTTTTTTTAAAGATTTATCCATTTTTATTGGAAAAGCAGATTACAGAGAGGAGAGACAGAGAGGAAGATCCTCCACCTGATGGTTCACTCCCCAAGCAGCTGCACAGCTGGAGCTGAGCCAAACCGAAGCCAGAAGCTTCTTCCAGGTCTCCCACATGGGTACAGGGTTCCAAGGCTTTGGGCTGTCCTCGACTGCTTTCCCAGGCCACAAACAGGGAGCTGGAAGGGAAGTGGGGCTGCCGGGATTAGAACCGGTGCCCATATGGGATCCCAGGCGCTTTCAAGGTGAGATCTTTAGCCGCTGAGCTATCATGCCAGGCCCTAGACACAGATCTTTCATCTGTTGGCTCACTGCTCAAATGGCTACAGCAGCCAGGGCTGAGCCAGGCTGAAGCCAGGAGCCTGGAACTCCAGCCAAGTCTCCTTAATGCATTTCAGGGATCTGAACACTTCCACCATCCTCCACTACTTTTCCAGGTGTAGTAGCAGGGAGCAGAACCTGAACCAGCTCTCCGAAATGGGGTGCAGACATCACAAACGGCAGCTTAACGCACTGTGCCACCATGCTGGCTCCCTTGAACGTAAGCTCTCACATGGGCTGCCAGAGTTAGAAGCATGGCTTACCTCTCTGTGCCATAGCCCTGGCCAGGTTGAAGGTGTTTTAGACAATGTTTAGGAATTAGTTTAGATTCGGCCCTGTGTGGTGGTCGAAGGATTTGCACAGAGGGGAGCTGAGTGAGCAGAAGGGTTGTCTGCACCAAGGCCCGAGTGAGGGTAACAGTGCCAGAGGCACGTCAGCGGACCTGCCTGCTTCCTTAGTGCCCACCTGGGTGCAGTCCACCGAGGCGTAGCTTCTGCATCGCCGGCTGCTCTTCCTGTCCCCCTTGCATGGTGACCCTCCTCTCCTTGGCCTCTCGGGCTCCGTTCTGGGCCTTCTCTTGTTATTTTTGCCTCTAGTTGGCTGAAGTCAAATTCTGAGTCATTCAGCTATTGATGGTCTGCTGCCGTGTCACTCATGGCCTGCAGAGTCACCCCTGTAGCCTGCCTCCTCTTGATCTTAGACAAACCGTGAGAAGCCATTCCCGCTGCCTCTTGACATCACTTCTTTTTTTATTTGTTGTTGTTTTTTAATTTTTATGTATTTGATGGCAATTACAGGGTTGACCAGGGTGGGAAGAATCGGGGATAAGGGAAAAGTGTGTGAAATCATTGCTTCCTAATTCTTCATTTTTTCTTGTCTCGGAGGGAAGGGGAGAAAAAAAGAGGGAAGCCACACCTGGCCTCTCAAATGTCCCAGTACCCAGGGATGGGGAACCACCACCCCAGGTCAACCCAGGGTCCCACTACAGTGCATGTTCTGAGAGTTCTGATAAAGTGGATTGGATAGTTCTGCAGTGCTGTTGATTTCACCAATCCAAGGGTGAGGCAGTCCTCCCCATGCCCATTGGCTGCCATACTCCATTGTGGGCTGGTGCATTGGCCTAACCCATATGCATCTTCTGGTCTCGCCCCTCCACAGCACTGAGCCTCAGTCCCCTCGCTTACCAAGTACAGTCACCCTGTCATTTGGAGTCCCTCAGGAGTCATTTCTCGCTTACTTGTATGGTTGTCTCATCCAAGGATGTCCCTAGAGAATAATTCAACACTCCTGAGTCCCTGGAGCTCGTGGCCAGGCCCAGATGGCACCAGCCACCTTGCGGCAGCCAGCACTTTAAATTCCTGGCTCCAGAGCTAGGCTCCACCTTCCCCGCCAGCCACAGCGGCTGGTGGGTGTCCGGATGGACTGGGTGCCCAGCCTGGACAGAGATGGTGCCTTGACATCACTTCTTTACTGACATTTCATACCCATCACACATCATCCTGCAGCTCGAATCCGAGCCCCACAGGGTCCCCTCTGCCTGCCCTCTGCCCCCTGCCCTGTCGTGAGCCCTCTCCTGGTTCGTCCCCATTGCCTCAGGAAAGCCCTCCTTCAGTCTGGCCAGAGCTGGTCCTTGCGTCTCCCGCGAGGCTGTTAGAGGCCTGTGCTCCCTGGAACTCTGCTGCGGTTGGCATTTTCCGTGTATTTGTTAGGTTTTCTCCCTCACTCGACTGCTGCTTCCATCAGGCCCAGATGTGTCCATGTTCCTCCCAGTCCGTCCTTGGTCTCTGCCAGGAGCCTGGTGCACAGGCAGGACTCGGGGAAGTGCTGTCGAGTGTCCAGGGTGGAGGGCTGCAACGGCTGAGGCCTGAGGTGTCACATGGCCTCTGCTGCTGTCGGGAGGAGGGTTGCTCTGCCTCTGCTGCTGTCAGGAGGAGGGTCGCTCTGCCTCATATGCCATTTATATAATGACTTTCTAGTTCTGAGAAAGAGCGCTTCACTAGCTCAGCTGTTTCTGAAATTGAAGTTTAGAAGCCGAAATTGAGGGATCCTGGGGGCCAGTGGAAGCTGTGGAGCTCAGGCAGTTAGTGTTGCCTGTTCTGGATGCTTCTTTCTCATGTTTTGTTTGTCTTCCTAGCACTCTGATCTACAAATTCGGAAGGACTGAAGAGCTGTGGACCTGAGGTTGCCGCATCAATCCTGTTTTCCTTTTGTTATATTCTATTTGTAGATAAGTTTTTATTTCCCCATATGATTTACACATTGCCAAATGGATTCGACTGTGCACTGAGTTTTGTTTCTTGACACTTTTATGCCCTGAGTTTTGAGACAGTTTTATGAACCCTGTTCTTTTTTGTTTTTAATCAACCAGACTGTTGATATGTACATATTGTCTAAGACCATTGAGGCTGGCTGATGACTGTCCATTCCTAATGCCCAAGACTGGACGCTGGGTCTCTTCCCTGGGCTGGGCCGCCCCGTCGTGTGGTCCCTGAGGGGACCGCTCTGATGTCTGTCTCTGCTGTCTGAAGCTGGGCAGCAACTGTTGCCCTGTGCATCCAGAATAAGCCCAGAGCTGCTTCAAAAAAAAAAAAAAAAAAAGGTATTTTTTATTTTGGCTTAAAAAAAAAGAGGATTTTTTTTTTTAAGGAAAAAAGTCTGTCCTTATGTATTAAAGAAGTGGACTTTTATATGAAGATTTAAAAAAAAATGTCTGAAGGACTGTCTCTGAAGACCTCTTTTAAAAGGAGTTCCTCTAACGTGACAGTGCGTGACCAGGGATAACCTGCGGTGAAGGGCGCAGAGCTTCTCTTGGCTGATGCGTGGGTTCCGAGTGGGCACTCAGCGGCTGCCTCTCCGAGGAGCAGCTCCCGCAGTCCTGCGGCCGCCGTGCTGTGCAGCCTGTCCTCCTCCTCTGACGTGAGCCAATCGCGAGCACGCGGGAGACCCCCGCAGTCCTAAAGCATGCCTCCTGTGACGAAAAGGGGAATCCTTGCAGAAGGGAGCGAGTATGAGCCTGTTCACAATAAATTAGGCATTTCGTCCTCTTAGTTACGACTGCAGGTCTCCCTTTGCTGTAGCTGGCAAGCGTGGTGTGAATGTTCCTGTGAAATAGACCTGCGGTGTGGAAGTTCACACTGCAATCAGAAGCGTCATTTGCTGCATTTGCAATCCTGTATTTGCGCCCTTGGTATCGCTGGGTGCTTTGATCGCTACTGTTGCTATCCAGAGTTTCATGTTGCACTTTGTGCTGGGAGCTTTGACCATGGGACATCTCTGGGCGCTGGTGTGGCGCTCCCACACAGCCTTGGCCTGCAGCCATCTCCTCGCAGAGGGTCACCTGCACAGACTATGAAGCGATTGCCGAGTGCTGTGCCTTTGTCCACATGCCATCTTGTTCGATTACTTTTGTCTTTGTTGTTCCTTTTTACTCAAAATTATTGTCTTGCATCCAACAAACTGTAAGATTAATTACTTGTTTCCACTGTCGTAACCTGTTGCAGTAAATGTTATTTCTGTTATATGCTAATAATATTACTGAGTCCTTTGGAGAAAATGAACTATAAAATTGGTTTGCCATTCATTTTTCCATTAGTCAGTTAGACTTGATTAAAGAAACACTTATCTTAAAATCTATTTTTCTTAATTTTCGTTTTAATTGTTTCCGTAGTCTAGAGAGATGCACGCCCATGTGGGTCTCCAGTGAGGAGCAAGGCGGAAGAGACAAATGTTTCGATTTTTTTTCCTCCTCTGTCCTCAGGAGGGGGAAGGGAAGGGGCCTGCTGCTTTCTGCAAAATTACCTCAGCACCCAGGAATGGGGGCATTCGTTGCTGATGCCTTAGAGACCCCAGTGTGGAGAAGAGTGATCCGCAAGTGTGAGGAGTGAGGTGTTGTCGGCTTCATTACACCAGGATTGAGAACATTTTCCCAAGATCTACTGGCTATCCAAGTCCACCTTGGGGCATCCACAGGCCCAGGAACATGTTACAAAACTTGGCCAGGGAAGTTGTCCAAACTGTTCGTTCTATCCTCTGATGAGACACTTGACATCCTGTGCTGGCATCGATGAGCTGCCCATTATGTCCCTCGTGTGTGTCTGGACATGCCACCCACTGCACAGGCACCAGCAACTGAGGAGGCCCAGTCCTGATGCATGCACATCCTGTGATTTTTCCCTGTGGTTGGAGTTTGAGTCCAGTGGTCTAGTTAGGGAGTACCCCAAGAAATCTCACCTGGAGTGACCTCAGACTTGACTCTTGTGTTCGCCAGCCAGTGCAGGGTCAGGTTCTGTCTGTCACCTGCACTAGTGGTGCACATATGGGTAGATGCACCTGCTTGGTCAGTTCTGCCCCAGCCCCATCTCATGCAAACTGACAGAAGTGTGCCTTAGCCTAGCTTGTCATGGGCCTGGTCCTTATGCATACTCATGGGTGCCATGGCCTAGTTGGGGCAACCCCTATAACCGTACCAAGCCTGCCCCAATCCCTGCTTTGTAAGCGCTGCATGTGCTGCAGCCTAGCCGAGTCTGTCCTGCATCACTTCTGGCTCTTGTGCGTACCCATAGGTGCTACAGCTTAGCTCAACCCAGCCTGGCCCACATAAATGCCAATGGGTGCTGCTGCTACTAGCCTGGGCCACCACTAGCTCTGGCTTTCATGCTTACCAGTGGTAGCTTCAGCCCATCAGAGGAGTGTCCATAGTTCTACCAGGCCTGTTCCTATTCCTAGATCTTGCACCTGCCAGGGGTTACTGTGGTCCAGCCTGACAGGATTCTCACCCAGTCTCAGCACTTGCCAGTGGGTGCTGTGGCCTCTCTTGGCTAGTCCATACTCATTCTGGCTTTTGTGCGTGCCAGCAGGTGTGGCAGCTTAGCCCAGCCTGGCTTACCCCAAGTCCTAGCTCTCAATGCTCACCAGTGTACCAGGAGCAGTAGCCTGGCAAGTTGAGTCTCCAAAGTTTTCCTGGGACCAGGCCCATTCTTAGCCCAGAGTCTTGTGTATATCAATGGATGGTGGGGCCCAGTCTGAGATGGCCCGACCCCAGTCTTGGCAATTGGCAATGATGCTACAACCTGGCTTAGCCTAGCCTGCCCCAGTCCTAGCTCTTACCGGTGGATGCAGGGGCCTAGCCCAGCCTGGCCCACTCCCAGCCCTCATTTGAACTGGCAGTCCAACTTGGCCTGGCCCGTGTCCCCGCCTGGTTCTCTTGCCAGCATGTGCGGTTTACTGGCCCAGCCCAGCTCACCCCGATTTTGCTCCTATTTGCACCAGTATATGCTGTGGGCTGACCCAGCCTGGCCCACCCCTAGATGAGGCTGTCGTGTGAACCAGTGGGTATAGTGGCCTATCCTGATGTGTCCCACACTCATTCTAGCTTTCTCAAGAAACAGCAGGTCCTAGAGCTTAGCCCTGTCTGGCCTGCCCCCAAATAAAGCCCACATGCATGCCAACAGGTGCTGCAGCCTCGCCTAGCCCAGTCCACCCCAGCCCCATCTCTTATACTCACCAGTGGGAGCTGCAGCCTAGCAGGGGAGTACCCAAAGTTCCCCCACCAGGCCCCTTCCCAGCCGTGAATCTTGCACATGTTGGCAGGTACTTCAGTCAGGCCTAGCATGCCCTACCCGCTGTCTAGCTCTTGCTGATGGGTGCTGCAGCCTAGTCCATCTGGGCACAACCCGCAACCTGTCCTGGATCTTGAGCTTGCCAGTGAGTGCTGTGGTCTGGCCTAGCCTGGCCTGCCCCCAGATCCAACCTACACAAATGTTGAGGAGTGCTACAGCCTGGCCTGGCCTCCCCCTAACCCAGGCTATTGCACATCCCAGCTGGAGGTGCAGACTAATAGAGGAGTTCCCCAAGTTCCCATACCAGGCCTGCTCCCAGCCTGGATCTCAAGGTGCTGGTGGTTGCTGCAGTCCTGCTTGGCATGGTCTTCCCTCAACCCCAGCATTTGCATGTGCCAGTGGATGCTGCTGCCCGGTCCAGCCTGGCCCCCTTCCAGCCCTGGATCCTGTGTCAGCTGAGTTCCGTGGTCCAGCCTGGCTCAGTTCTCTGCATGCATTGGCAGATGCTGCAGTCCCACAGAGGCGAGCCCGCAAGTGCCCTACAGAATCTGCCCCCAGGTCTGAGTCTTTCTGGTGAGTGCTGCGACCCAGCCTGGCGTGGCTTACCTTCTGCTCCAACATGGGACACTTGGGGGTGGGTACTGTGGCCTAGTTCAGCCAGGCATGCCTCGAAGTCTCAGCTTGAGTGTGCCAGGCAATGTTTTTTCAGCCTGTCCCATATTTCCCAGGTGTGCGAGTGCCTTGACCTGATTCAGACATGCCCTCGGATTTTGCCCTGTCTGAACCGCCTGGTCTCAGCTTCCTTCCCTACCTGTGGGTGGCCCAGTCCGTGGAAGACCCCAGAAGTCTTTCCTCCCTGTCAAACATGCCCTTAGCTACTCCCACTCCAGTGTGTCCCCCTGGCACACTGGGCACTGCAGCACCCCCTGCTTGGGGCTAGTTGTAATGTCCTGGCCCCATGTTCCCTACCTTCCCCACGGATCTTTAAAATAAAAAGGCATTTATGCTGGCACAGGGATAATTAACACAAATTTGGCATTAACCAGGTTCAGAATGCCTACCAGCTATTGGCAGCTTTTCTCCCAGCAGTGTAACACTTGCCTAGAGGTACAGAGCAACCTTAGGCTGTTACCAAGAGCTGGAGCAAAATTTGTTTGTTCATGTATCTATTTTTCATTTGAAAGAAAGAGACAGAGAAATCTCCTAGCCATTGACGGGCTTCCCTGGTGCTGTCAACAGCTAAGGCTGACACTTGAGGACAGGTGGGACACTTGAGGGTGGGCACTGTGGGCCAGGCTGGAGCCAGGGGAGTCCATCCAGACCCTCCCAGCAGTGGCAGGGACCGAGAACTGGAGTTGTCACCTGTGACCTCCCTGGAGGTGCACAGCAGGGAACTCGGACAGAGCAGAGCCAAGTCAGGAGCCGAGTGCGGGTGTGGTTCAATTGCACCAAACACCTCACAGAGACACCTTGTGTGAGAGACCCTGCTTCCACACAGGCTTGCGCTGTGCCTGCGAAGGTTCCTGAAGGTTATCCCTGAAGACTAAGCTGGTGGACATTTTTCCTTCTGCTGTTGACTCTGCCATGAGTTTGTTTTCCAGTTGTGAACAGATCAGTTTCTTTTCTTTCTCCATGTTCCCTGTTTTTATTTTATTTTAAAAGATGATGGGGCCTGGTGCAGTGGCCTAATGGCTAAAGTCCTCGCCTTGAATGCACCGGGATCCCATATGGGTGCCGGTTCTAATCCTGGCAGCTCCACTTCCCTTCCTGCTCCCAGCTTGCCTGGGAAAGCAGTGGAGGATGGCCCAAGGCCTTGGGACCCTGCACCCATGTGGGAGACCTGGAGGAAGTTCCTGGATCCTGGCTTCGGTTTGGCGCAGTACTGGTCATTGTGGTCATTTGGGGAGTGAATCATCAGACGGAAGATCTTCCTCTCTGTCTCTCCTCCTCTGTATATCTGACTTTCCAATAAAAATAAATAAATCTTTATAAAAAATTAAAGATGAAAGGTAGAGTGGAGAGAGAGAGGAAGAGAGAGACACCTCCGATCAGCCACTTTACTCCTCAGATGACCACAGGAGCCTGGAACTCCATTTTCATCTCTCATGTGGGTGGAGGAGCCCAAGGACTTGGGTCATCTTCCACTGCTTTTCCAGGTACATTATCGGGGAGCTGAATCAGAAAGAGAGCAGCTGGGACTAGAATTGGTGCCCATATGGGAGGCTGGCAGTGCAGGTGGTGGCTTAACCCACTGCACCACAGAAGCACAGCCCATATTCACTCTTTTTGTGAATGAGAAAAAGCAGAATTATTGGGAATTACTTTACAATGCATGCTTCCCTTAATAAAGTTCAGACCCTTAATGAGGCCCAATAGTTATTGAATTTAATATTACCAGAATATTCTGTTCTGTGACTTAAAGATTTAAAATGATTTGTTCATCTGAGAGACAAAGCACGACAGACAATGGAGAGGTTCTATCTTCTTATTTATTTATTTTATCGGGAATGCAGATCAGATTTAATGGAGAGACCGAGAAACATCTTCCATCTGGTTCACTCCCCAAATGACTAGTGGCTGGAGCTGAACTGATCCAAAGCCAGGAGCTTCTTCTGGGTCTCCCACATGGGTGCAGGGTCCCAAGGCTTTGGGCCGTCCTCGACTGCTTTTCCAGGCCACGAGCAGGGAGCTGGATGGGAAGTGGAGCAGCTAGGACTTGAACTGGCACCCATACGGGATCCCAGCACTTGCAAGGTGAGGATTTAGCCAGTGAGTCACCATGGCAGACTTGAGTCATTTCTCTTATGCTTACAGGTGGGACAGGGTGAAAGCTGGAATTGGGAATGCCTTCCAGTCCCACAATCATTTCATGCCTTTTCCTGTAGCCTTGCGGGGTCTGCATTGGTAGGACACTGGGGGCTGGAGCTGGAAGTGGCTGTTAACCCAGGGTTCCGGGTTGTGAGGACCAGAGACAAAGCCCCTATTTCTCTTTTCCTAAGATCTCCGGATCCCTCGTGCTGTGTTGCCATCGGTGAAAAGAAGTGATATTTTTCTAGTATATCAC